TGTTCCAACCTCCCTGCTCATCTCTGTTAGTTGCTGTTTCTCGCTGTTTCTCATTGTTTCCTTCTGTTTGTCTCTTTCCTTCTGTTTGTCTCTAATTTGTTTTCTACGGCACCGCCTGATCCCGAGGCTTTGCCTCCTCCTGGCCTCGTTCTGAGGCTGCGCCCCCCCCCTTCCTCCCCCTCAATGGTTAATTCAAGCTTCGCGCGGCCCGCTTAGCTTCGACAGGAAGAGGTACGCTCTCGACCCGCGAATCCAAAAAAAATATTATGCTAACGGAGTTCCCCACATAAAGATATTAACGGTTTCATGGGACCCATGGGGTACGACAACATCAACACGAAGGAGAAGCTCATCGAACGAGTAAGTACGCACGAAAGGGCAGACGAAAGAAAGGAGGAAGGAGGACAGGTGCTCAGGAAACGAAGCCTTGTAAATAGTATGGGTTTCCGATACCCTCCTCGCTCTGGCGGGGCCCCGCTGGAAGGGGGGAGGGCTACGAAACCTGGTAAAGAGTAATGCTTTCCGCGACCCTCCTCGTTCAAGCGCGGCCTCTCTGGAGGAGTGGAGGTGGGAAGGGCACGAAACCATGTAAATAGTATCGGTTTCCGATACCCTCCTCGCTCAGGCGGGGCCTCCCTGGAGGGGTGGAAGGGGCACGAAACCATGCAAATAGTATTGGTTTCCGATACCCTCCTCGCTCAGGCGGGGCCTCTCTGCAGAGGTGGGAAGGGCACGAAACCATGTAAATAGTATGGGTTTCCGATACCCTCCTCGCTCAGGCGGGGCCTCCCTGGAGGGGTGGGAGGGGCACGAAACCATGTAAATAGTATGGGTTTCCGATACCCTCCTCGCTCAGACGGGGCCTCCCTGGAGGGGTGGGAGGGGCACGGGAGGCGGGAGGCGAGAGGTAGAAGGAGAGGATGTTCTGGGAAAACAAGAACCCCACTCAGGATGTGGGGCACGAAACCATGTAAATAGTATGGGTTTCCGATACCTTCCTCGCTCAGGCGGGGCCTCCCTGGAGGGGTGGGAGGGGCACGAAACCATGTAAATAGTATGGGTTTACGATACCCTCCTCGCTCAGGCGGGGCCTCCCTGGAGAGGTGGGAGGGGCACGAAACCATACAAATAGTATGGGTTTCCGATACCCTCCTCGCTCAGGCGGGGCCTCCCTGGAGGGGTGGGAGGAACACGAAACCTTGTAAATGGTTTTGGTTTCCGATGCCCTCCTCGCTCAGGCGGGGCCTCCCTGAATGGGTGGGAGGGGCACGAAACCATGTAAATAGTATGGGTTTCCGATACCCTCCTCGCTCAGGCGGGGCCTCCCTGGAGGGGAGGGAGGCGGGAGGCGGGAGGGAGAAGGAGAGGATGTTCTGGGAAAACAAGAACCCCACTCAGGATGTGGGGAAATAGTATGGGTTTCGGATACCCTCCTCGCTCAGGCGGGGCCTCCCTGGAGGGGTGGGAGGGGCACGAAACCATGTAAATAGTATGGGTTTCCGATACCCTCCTCACTGAGGCGGGGCCTCCCTGCAGAGGTGGGAAGGGCACGAAACCATGTAAATAGTATGGTTTTCCGATACCCTCCTCGCTCAGGCGGGGCCTCCCTGGAGAGGTGGGAAGGGCACGAAACCATGTAAATTCGCCGGCCCAACGGGCCAGGGCGTGCTAAGATCTCCGGTAACTGGTTAACAGTATTAACAGTATTTCTAGTTCGCGCGCGCGGGGCGGCCCCTGGGGGTCCCCCGGCGAAAAGTACCCCGACCAACGCCCGGTCGCCGCCCGACCGCCGCCCGACCGCCGCCCGACCAAGTCTACTCAGAGATGGTTTTCCTTCTGGGTGCGGCCTCTCAGGCTCCCCAGAGCGCGCTCAGAGTGCCCCAAGAGGCCCCCAAGACTGCCCAAGAGGCCCCCGAGACGCCCAAAGAGCGCTCGAAGACGCCGAAGATGACCCCAAGACGGCCCAAAAGGCCCCCAAGACAGCCCAAGAGGCCTCCAAGACGCCCCAAGAGCCTTCCAAGAGGCCTCCGAAGAGAGCCCCAAGAGGCCAAAATCGTTGATTTTCATTGGTTTTTTCGATGTTTTTTGTGTTCTGGCTTTTTCGGCTTCCGGACGCTCCAAGACGGCCCAAGAGGCCCCCAAGACCGCTCCAAGACGGCCCACGAAGCTCCCAAGACGGCGCCGAAACGACCCAAGAGAGCCCTCAAGACGGCCCAAGTGCCGCCCAAGACGGACCAAGAGGCCCCAAGACGGGCCCAAGAGGGACTCAGGAGGGATACCGAGAACTCAAAAATGGAGCCCTCCGTCCCAGAAGGCGCCCAGGAGGTCCCAAAGAGGCCCCAAGAGGCCTCCAAGAGGCCCCAAGATGTCGCCAAGAGGCCCCAGGAGACTCCCAGGAGGCCCAAAAGAAGCCCCAGAAGGCTTCAAACATGTCTCCCAGGCGCCCCCGAACGGCCTCTCAACAGACCCCAAGAGGCCCCCCAAAGAAGCATCTTGACGACGACTCTATTTCGCCCCATCGAGAGACGACCCCCAGGGAACTGCTTCACCATCAAAACTCCCCACGCAACGCGTCCGAACGACACCCGCCCCCAAGAGCGCAACATGGGCAACGAACACACAGACAAAAACCAGCGATGCCATATCACGGGCCGGCGGAATGAGCGAAGCGATTCAATAGTATTGGTTTTCCGATACCCTCCTCGCTCAGGCGGGCTCCCTGGAGGGGTGGGAAGGGCACGAAACCATGTAAATAGTATGGTTGTCCGATACCCTCCTCGCTCAGGCGGGGCCTCCCTGGAGGGATGGGAATGGTATTGATATGGGAGGCGGGAGGCGGGAGGGAGAAGGAGAGGACGTTCTGGGAAAACAAGAACCCCACTCAGGATGTGGGGGGAAAAAAAACTGTTTGTCTCTATTTTCTTCGTTTGAGGAGGGAGGTTCCGAAGGAGGAAACCCTAACCTCCAGAGGTTAGTGGTCCAACCTCCAGATTCCAATGTTTTTCCTTATCCCCCCACCCCCGCCACTGGCCCTCCCCGTTCCCCACTTCTCCACGTTCTTGCGGAGCACGCCGACCGCTGGCGTGTCGTCGTAGTTCGTGAACCAGACCTCCAGGCGGATGACGTTGGCCGCGCGAGGGCCCGACAGCTTGTCCACGAGGCGGATGCCGGTGATCATGTGGGCCGGCTCGATGGTGGCCCCAATCATTCCGAGGACGAGGTTGTTCCAGTATTCGTCCACCTGGCCGCCTCCGATGCTCGGCTTGAGCTGGTACTGGAAATGCCCCCCGTTGGCGTTCATCTTGTCCTCCCACTCAGGGCGGATATTTTCACGGAAGATCATGATGGCGTCGATGACGTGGAGGCCGTCGGGCTGCTCGCGCACCATCCGCTTGTTCTCCAGGAGCTCGCTCGGCTGGGGCATGTGGTTCCACAGCTTCCAGAAGCTCTGCACGGACGAGCAGGAGGCAACTTTATGGGTGGCGTCAGAATACTGCGCGGACTTGTCATTGGACTGCATGATCTGCTCCCAGATGGCCCAGGTGTAGCGAAGCGGCAGCTCCTTCTTCAGCAGGTCTTCGGTGTCTTCTGAGTTGTCGGTGGTGAACTTGAGGCCTGAGTTGAAGCTTTCGTTGAAGCTGAGGTATGCCGCCATAGTTCCTGAACTCCAAAACGGTGTCCCAAGTTTTGGAGTGTGGTCGACTTGAGCCAAATCGGCTGTGCAGGGAGGAGGTGATCGGCGTAGCCCGGAGAACAAGAAAAGCATGATGCTGATGGATGGTCTCACAGCACATGGATGCGCGACGCACAAGGCACGCCCGACACAGGACACAAGACAACCACCGCACACGCAACGCATGCGAAAGGCATGCCACAGGACTGCCCACATCCCACACGAAATGGGCGGCAATCAGCATCACCAGCACGGCACTCCGCGTACACAGCAGCACGCTCACGACACCACAAGCATAGGGCACCACTGCACCACCTACCCTAACCCGAACCGCGTTCGCCACAGCACGCATGGGACTGCGCGTGCATCACCGCGTTCACATGGCACGACCACACGGCACCAGAAACTCGACACCACCAGCACAACACCATCACCATACCGCGCAGCACCCCACGCAGTACCAGACCAGGCCACACCATGTCGCGAATTGACGGTTAGCCAAGGGGGGACCACGCCTTTGCATCCCACTTTGCGCCTGCAATGCGGTAGTACGAGAACATGGCGGGCTTCACTGAGCCATACACGACCACATCAAGAAAGATCACGCATGAAAAACACATCCTGTCGTTGCCCGCGCAGTTCCCCTTTTTTTCCCATCCGAAAATTGCTGCACGCATTTCCATACGATCATGCGCCATAGCATGCCGCATCGAGTCTACCCTGAGAGTGCGAGATTGGCCACTGCTACAGAACGGTGCTGAGAACGAACATCCTGCACAGCCTGAGGGAGCACAACAAGCGGGCGTTCTACAAGCCGGCCATAACAGGTGCACAGTTGCCGCATGCCAATTCGTCGACGCGCGAACGGCCGAAAATGTCGTTCTCGCCTCGGCGCCTCGCAGATGTCGCCTGAAAGTGGCGCTCACGCATCGGCGCGGTGCATACTCCTCACCCGCCCGATATTCAGGCCCCGTACGAGTGGACGACTTGTCGCCCTTGTCCAAGCTCCGTGCACAGTTCGCCTGGAACTGGCGTTCCCGCGCGGGCGCGGTGCATGTGTCGCTCGCCGGATCGCAGGAAAGCGGCAACGGCAGCGGGGCCGCGCGAGAGCGGACGAAATGTTGTCTTCGCCAGAGCGCCGCGCATATTGCGCGTGCAAGTAGCAGTGCTGTGTCGGCGTGGCGCATGATCCGTCTGCGCCGCGCCCATCGGAAACTAGGCCGCCCCAGAGAGGGATGAATCGTGTTCCCGCCGCAGCGCCGCGCCAATATTTCCTGGCCTTCCGTTCCCTCATCTGCGCGGCCCGCGTAGCTGCACCTTTTGCCAAGTCGTCGGGAGCAGGACCGCGCGCAAGCGTCTCCCTCTCGTCCGGTAGGAATGCCTTACAATTAGGTTGGGCATGTCCCCCTACAGGCGGATTCTGGACGAAAAATAACTCTGAAATAGTCAAACAAATATACAGAAAATTGTCCCCTTACTATTCTTAACTATGTTTGGATGTTCCTCCTGTAGAGGGACAGGCCCGACTTATGGGAATGGGAGGGGCCCGCTGGCTCGTCCGACCTGGCCAGCTTGACTCCCTTTCCCTCAAGTTCCTCCTCGCTCTCATCCTCCTGGTCTTAAATCGGGCGTGTCCCCCTACAGGAGGATTTTGGACGACGAATATGAAATAGGGAGGAAGAAGATAAGAACAACAAAAAAAACGTACCCAAAAATAGTAAAAACAATCGTCCCCATACTATTTGTTTTGACTATTTTTGACTACTCCTCCTGTAGAAGGACAGGCCCGACTCAATCCTAGTCATCTCCCTCATCCGCAAAGAGAGCGTGACCCACCGCCGCTTCACTGTGGAAAATGACCTCCCCTCTTCCTCCGGAACCGGGGGGTCCCCCCCCCTCCCCTTCGAAAATCCCCCCCGTGCTGGACCCCCTCCCCCCTTCCCCCCAACAAAACCACCCCTCCCCTAACCCCCCCCCCCTCCGGAAAACCGTGGGGGGTCACTACCTGTTCGAACCCCCCCTCTCCCCCTCCCTCATCCGGGAAACCGGGGGGGTCACTACCGGTTCGACCCCCCCCCTCTAGAAAACCGGGGGGTCACTACCGGTTCGAGCCCCCCCCCCCCCCACTCACCGCCGGCAAACGACTCCCGGGTCCCCACCACCGTCCGCACCACATCCCCCATTGCTGTCCCCAGCACCACTGTCCCCACCACCACTGTCCCCACTGTTCCCACCACCGTCCCCATTCCCCATCAGTGCCCCCACCACTGTCGCACTGTCCCCGCTGTCCCCACCACTGTTTCCACCACGGTCCCACTCTCCCCGCTTTCCCCACGGTTCCCAACACTGCCCCACTGTCGCCAATGTCCCCACTGTCCCACTGTCGCCGCCGCTGTCCCACTGAGCTGTCCCACTGTCCCCACCATTGTCTCCACTGTCCCCACCACTGTCCCCACCACTGTCCCCACTGTACCTGTGTCCCATTGCCCCACCACCGTCCTCGCCACCGCCCTCACCACTGTCCCCACCGCCACTGTCCCCACCACTGTCCCCACTGTCCCCACCACATTCCCACTGTCCCCACACCAGTGTCCCCACCACCGTCCCCACCACTGTCCCACAGTCGGTCCCCACCACTGCCCCACTGTCGCCAATGTCCCCACTGTCCCACTGTCCCACTGTCCCCGCCGCCCGCTGTCCCACTGAGCTGTCCCACTGTTCCCACCACTGCCTCCTCTGTCCCCACCAATGGTCCCACTGTACCTCTGTCCCACTGTCCCACCACCGTCCTCGCCACCGCCCTCACCACTGTCCCCACCACCACTGTCCCCACCAGTGTCCCCACTGTCCCCACCACATTCCCATTGTCCCCATTCCACTGTCCCCACCACCACCGTCCCCACCACTGACCCACAGTCCACACCGCTGTCCCACTGTTCCCACCATTGTTCCCGCTGTCCCCACCAGTGCCCTCACCAGTGTCCCACTGTCCCCACTCTCGCCATCATTGTCCCAATTTTCCCATGGTCCCCACCGCTGTCCCCACTGTTTCCACCACTGTCCCACTGTCCCCACTGTCCCCGCCGCTGTCCCACTGTACTGTCCCACTGTCCCCACGGTCCCCACCACTCTCCCCACTGTACTACTGTCCCACCACCGTCCTCACCACCGCCTTCACCACTGTCCCCACCACTATCGTCCCCACCACTGTCCCACTGTCCCCACCTCTGTTCCCTCACCACTGTCCCCACCACCACCGTCCCCATCACTGTCCGCACCACTGTCCCACTGTCCCCAACTGTCCCCACCACCACCGTCCCTACCACTATCCCAGTATTTCCACCACTGTCCATCTGTCCCGAGGTGCGGGAATCGTTTGCTGGCGGCGAGGGGGGGGGTTCGAACCGGTAGTGAGCCCCCCCTGGTTTTCGAGAGGGGGTGGGGGGGTTCGAACCGGTAGTGACCCCCCCCCCTTTTCATGATGGACTGGTGGCGGGTGGGGGGGTTCGAACCGGTAGTGTGAACCCCCCGGTTTCCCGGAGGAGGGAGGGGGGGGTTCGAACCGGTAGTGACCCCCCCGGTTTTCGAGGGGGGGGGGACGGGTTGGGTACCCTCAGTGACCCCCCCCCGGTTTTCCGCCAGCAGCGGTAGAACACGCTCTTTCTCATCCGCCCATCCTCCCCACTCCTATCACCACACATCCACATCCTGCCCCACTCAGTCCACATCCTTTGGTGGGCAAGGGGGCCGGGCCACGAATATCAGCAGGCACCAGATGTGGAGCTTCTGGCCCCCGAGATCCAGGGGCAAGCAAAAGAGCCTGCATCCTCGCGGGGGAGGGAAAGAGGAGGAGGAGGAGGACGACGATGACGACGACGACAGTTTCAAGGAGGGGCACCAAAGGCTCTACTATGTCGGAGCTCCAGAAGGTTGCCACCATGCACCTGCTCGTGGAGTGAGAGGAGAGGGACAAGGAGGAGGAGGAGGAGGAGGAGGAGGAGGAGGAGGAGGAGGGGTGGGGTGGAGCACGTCCGCTCCGTGCTGATGGAGAGGCAATAGTTATCCTCCACGTCATCCCACTCCTGCCCGTCCTCCCCCCCTGGGAGAGAGAGGAAGCAAAGGGAGACTGCAGGAGAAGCTGGATGAGGACGAGGCCGAGACCGAGAACGAAGAGGGCACCAGGAGCAGGTCGAAGAAAAGAAGGACGATGAGGAGCAACGAACGAGCGCTGAAAAAGACTGCCACGAGCCAGCGGGCGGATGAGGCTCCCCAAGAGGAGCATCCCAAGCAGCACAGCCTGCAGGAGCCAAACCAGGCCGTGGATGAAAACCACACCCTGCAGATCGGAGGTCGCCACCTGTCCACCTCACTGGTCCTGACCAGGCCCACACTGGGCCGGGGCTCGGCGCATCGAGCATCAACCAGGGAGGATCCTGGGCCCACGGTCGGCCCGGCCGGCATCGGCGAGGTGGGCAGTCGACGCCCCTCGAGCAGGGAGACGCTGAACCGCCAACGGCCAAGGCACCGCGGGATATAAAAATGCAAAACCCACAGTTTTCAGAAGGAACGCAGATGCAGGGCACAGGTTCCGCATCTCCCTGTTTCTATTCCTCTTGCTCCTCCTCCTCCTCCCCCTCCTCCTCCTCCTCCTTCTCCTCCTCCTCTTCATCCTAAGCCTCCTCCTCCCCCTCCAACTCCCCCTCCTCCTCTTCATCCTAAGCCTCCTCCTCCTCCTCCTCCTCCTCCTCCTCCTCCTCCTCCTCCTCCTCCCCCTCCTCCTTCTCTTCGTCCTCCTCCTCCTTCTCCTCCTCCTCCTCCTCCGCTTCCCTCCTCCTCCTTGTCTCTCTGCCTCTGTTCCCTCCTCCTTCTGCTCACCCTGTCCCTCCCGCAAGGAAGCCCTGGACAGCAAGCAGAATCAGGCTGCACAGTCGTAAATGCCATGGGCCCGCGGGGTTGCACTTGTGGCGACGTGCGTCAGCCCCAAGTCTCTTGACACACGGCACAGTGTGGACCGTGGCTGGCTGAGGGGTGAGCGGTGGTATCAAATGCTGGCGCGCACCGGGTGGCAAGCGCAACTAACGATGCCGACTTGGCGCGGAGAGTGGCCTGCACGGATGGCGGGAGCTGGGGTGCAAGAAGGATGGCCCATCGCATGTCGCGGTGCTCCGCCTTGGCACTGTCCAGCTGGTAACCGCCATCGTCGTGGCTGCTGTTGCTCGCCATCGGTCAGCCTTACATGGCCAATTGAGTGGAAGGGATAGCCATCGGCGCCCAGAAGTTCGTGGTCCTGGTGAGGTTCGCCTTGTTAGCGTCGTTCGAAACATCGGAGCAGGGGTGGGCGACAATCGGCTTATCGGACACGGAAAGTGCTGTATTGTAGTCCACGCGGGGGTGGTGCCCCCGATGCTCCTACTTCCTGAGACTTGCACAGTGTACCAGCACGCGTAGCGCAGTTCGTACGATGCAACGGTATGTTGCTCCTGGTCGCCGCTGTAAGCAGCTTTATGTGTGAGGCAGTCTTTCAGCGCGCTGTCGTTACTTGGTCCATGGCTCATAATGTCAGTTGCCAAGTGATCCTGCGTAATAGACTTGTTGGGTTGGTAATTGCCGCGAGGGTGCCATGACGTTGACTGCACATGCCTTCGCTCAATCGTGTCTGCATATGCGTACGATTGGCCTCGCAATTCTGTGATTGGGGCTTTTTGTGATGCCCTTTGAGCGCGGGCATGAACGTTCCCGCCTGCTGTCGTTTGCTAGGCGCGCCAGACACGCGAGATGAGCCTTGCAGGCTACGACGGCTCGAAAACAATTGAGCGCGGGCCGCCCCATGTTAATACTGAGATACTGAGCGCTTGCATGCATTATTGGCGGTAAAGGGGTGGCGTGAGGGGGGCAGCTCACTAAGTAGGCGGAAGGGCTTCTTAGAAGGCCGGGGCCTTCTTGGAAGACCCCAGAGCCTTCCAAGAAGCCTTCTTAGAAGCAGGGCGGACTTCTAAGAAGCCCCCCTGCTTTCTTAGAAGCCCCGCCGCCTTCTTGGAAGACCAACCCCCACGCGACACCCACGCACGGGCGCCGCCAACATTAGATGTTGATGCGAGAGTGTAGGCGACGCTTCGAGGTTGCGGAGCTCTGAGCCGACGTTGGCGAGGGGCCCGATGCTTGAACTTCACGCTGGCACTGTCAGGCTTCAGACGGGGACGGCCCAGTCGGGTCCAGAGTTCTACATGTGATGTGGCCGCGTGCATGCGTCCGAACAAAATCTGCCGGCCGGTCGCGAAAGCAACATTGGAGTGACATGGCGATCTGGACCTGTCCTTGGAGGTGTACGCATCTGGTTCAGATGGGAATATGGCGGCGACCCCCGCGATGTTATTGAGCATTTCACGCGGCATCATATGACTGCGCGTAGTCTGTGCGGCATTCCCGGAAATCACTGGAATCTGAATGATGAGACAAGGCGAGTCGCTTGTCAAGACCCTGACATTGTTCTTCAGGGCTGTCGAAATCGCAAAGAGGGCGACTGTTTCCTTTGTGTCGTGCGTCGGATTCCAGGCACGCAGCGTGGATGAGGTATTCGACACGCATAACGGGGGCGCGCGAATGCTCGCACTACCGTTGGAGCTCATCTTGCCAGTGATTCACTTATAGCGGAGCTTAGTGCAGGTAGCGCTGGCGCGGGCTCTCGAAATGCCTGAGGGCTTCGTTTGCTCGCTGGAACGTCGCAGCTGCGAAGTGCTGGCCGAGAGCGTCCTCGACATCGTGGTTCTCGCCAGGCTCCTGAATCAGACTCGCTCGCGGTCACACTTGCTGCGCTTGTTCCTGGTCGCTGGATGTGGATGGCGTCGTTTGCTCGCTCGAGCGTTGCAGCTGCGAAGTGCTGGTCGAGATCGTCCTCCACGTTGTGGTTCTCGCCGGTCTCCTGAATCATCCTCGCTCGCGGTCAGAACTGCTGCGCTCGCTCCTGGTCGCTGGATGTGGCGGCGTACCTGCTGCACGTCCTGGGCGAGAGCGTCGCACTCCGAGGGGCCGCCCTTCATCGACGCAGCCCTCAGAAGCGTCACCGTGCAAGAGGCGAAGTTTGAGAACGCATGCTGCGCAAGCCCCGTTTCGAAAAGGATCCGCCCCCGCTCCGCGCGACACTTGGCGGATCCCAGAAAGCCTGAACTCAAAAATGTTGCCCATGTCTTGAGAGATCCATTTTTGCTTCCGCCGGACTCCCGCAGGCTTCCGCTGGCGGAGGCGGCCTCGTTGTACTTCCGCCGACCTTCCGCCGCCCTTCCGCCGCCTTCCGCTGAGGAAGAGATGGCAACTCCTTCGATCCTCGAAGGCAAGGCCCCTTTTGGAACGTCTCACTTGGAGACAAGTTCCCCCAGCGGCGCTTGCACTACAGTGCGGGCGCGGCCGCAAGAAACCCTCGCAAGAACCCCAACCCTAAAAACCCGCGCGCGAAGTGCACCTGAGAGGAAAACCGGAGCACCCTGAACGCAGCATCTTCTTCAACGGCCGCGGGAAGTCACCGCGCAGAGCGCGGAGCGAAGAAACCAAGGGCACCCTGACGAAACGCACATGGTTTCTTGATGAGCGCCCCCATTGTAAGAGGTTCACATGCGTCTCCGAAGTACTTTTAAGTCGGGCATGTCCCCTACGTAATCAAAATATGTACCCAAAAATTGCCAAAAATGGTCCCAAAAAAATCGTCCCCAGACTAATCTTTGACCATTTTGGAAGACATTCCTCCTGTAGAGGGACACGCCCGACTTAAAAGTACGTGGGTGGCGCCTCCGAGGCTCTCGCCCGGTCGCCGCACCGTCGCTGCATCGCCGCCGCCTCGCGGCGCTGGTTGGCGCTCTCGGGCTCTTGCCCGACCGCCGCCCGTCGCCGCGTCGCCGTCGCCCCGTGCGCTGTCTGTGGACCCCACGATGATGCCAAAGGGCTCCCAAGCTGTGCTTGCGCAAACTTCCCGCCCGGCTCCAGGACGTGTCCTGCGGCTTCTGGATTCGAGCCTCGTCGGCTGCGGCTCGCAGCGAGTTCAGGCAGGGATGCAGTCACGCATGCCTGCACACCTGCAGCACATCGTGCAAATCATGCGCATTTGCGCGCTGCAGTGGCAAAAAAAACTCGAGCCGAGCATCGTTGGTTTGCGCCCGGTGGCCGCCCGCCGCTGGCACGTCCCCGCCCCGCGCGCTGGCTGCACCGGGCTCCGTCCTGTCGCCGCCTCGCCGCCGCCTCGCGCGGTCGCCGCCCGTCGCCGCCTCGAGCGCGGGCTGAGGTTTCCGCCCTTTCGCCCAGGTCGCCGCCCGTCGCCGCCCCGTGTGCCACGTGGCGTTCCTGGACGCACACACAGCTTGCACCGCGCAGCTTGTCCTGCCAAGAGAAGAATGGAATCTACCACCCTGCCGAACGGGGACTTGCCCGCATCCCGTGTCGTATTGCACTCATGTTTGTGCCTCGTCGTCCACATGGCAGATGAGGCCACACCATCCCAACCCAGCCTGTGTCGACCCCCCTGCATCCTTGTCAAATATTACCATGCGCGCGCCCTTATCTATTTCAAAACATCATTATTCTAGAGCCCTGCGCCCCCCCCTCCACAAAGAAGCGCGCACACATCTCAAAGTCGAACCAAATTCATGAGTTCCCCAAGAACTTCAGAAGCGCGTTCAACATCAATTGGCTGCAAGTTTGTTATTACTTGCGTTCCTGAACACTTTCATGGGTCTGTCAAAGTTTCGCCGCCGTTGCCGCCAGTTGCCGTTTCGTTGCCCACTTGGGCGGGTTCGTTACCGCCCTCTTGGGGAAATCCGTCGATGTTTCGCCGCGTCGCCGC